GGAACAAGTTTTCTATACAATGCTTACAATCAACAGATTTTATAACAGGAAAATCGCGAGCGTTTTGCAAGAAACTAAATTGCATCACTTATATTTTGCGCACACTGAATTGTAGGGGAGAAAAAGCAATTATGACAATAAATTCAGAGGTTGGCTAATTTCATATTGGTGACGCAACACCTCTTGGATCACGAGAAAGCATTTCGAGTGATTTTTACTAATGATAACATCAGAATGCTCAAGATAGCCGAGGCGATTGCAACCAACCGATGGAAACCAATTCTCTGTCAACAAAAAGACTTGTTTGTCACCTTGACTTTGCCTTGGTGACGCTTTCTCCCATTTAGTAGTTCTCCTTTAGTAATTCTTTCTCAAACCCTAAATAAACATTGTATTTGTCTACAGTAGGCCCCAGTTGAGCTGCAACGAAATCGTCCAGGACATAAATCGTGCAATGTTGCTGTACTGGCGTCTGTTTTGAAATTTTGTCAGTTATGCGTGAACTGCAAAACTGCAGTGAAGTGCGACGAATAAATTCTCTCTCTCTAGTTGTGCTTTCACATTACATTTGTTTTAAGCGGATGCTCCCAGTTAGGCTGGTGTAGAAATCATCCTCAGTCATGGGATCAATCTTAAATTTTGGACTGAACTCTAATTGACCACGGATTTCATGTGAAAAAATTTCATGAATAATTCCGAAACACAGAAATGACAGAACAAGTCTTCTCGTAATGTTTGCGGACTATCCTAATTACTAAAACATGGAGGCGGTTAAAAATAGACTTTGGCAATATTTTCTCTCTCACGGAAGGCGCAGAGAATAAATATCAGGGCACCAGCCGAAGACTGGTAATGGTGAACTACGCCGTTTTGATAAATTGTGTTCCTAAGGGTATAATATGAACTACTTTTTGGATTACAAATTATTTCTTTCGACTACTGGCTTAAAGGTCCTGAATGAGGCTGCTTGCTTCTAGTATGATTTTGCGCAAATTTGTTGCAACACTAAACTCGTTACATTCCTTGGGTCTATGTTTTGCGTTCATTATATGGATTATCAACGTGCCCCAAGGTACCTTCTTCGAATCTCTGCTAGGTCGTAACTAAACAGCCTTCAGGTATTGTCCCAAACCAGCGATTTTTACTCGTAGAGTCTATTCAATCTGATTTCCGGTCGAGGTCCTCCTCAACCTATCTCAACTCTAATTATTTATAGCACGGCACGATCAAACGATTGTTTGCTTTCTGTTAAATTCCGCGCGCATTTGAACTGCTGGGTCAATTTATTCCAGGGCCTCAAAAGGATCATTGAAATCAAATCCAAACTGGTCGTGGTTATCACTTGACATTCAAAATGTACCTTATAGATCAAAAAACGTACGTAACGTTCGACTTCTCCAGCCGTATCGACTTGGTTTGGACTGACACCTAGATACCTATGGCTGAAAAGAATAATCCTTATGTTTCTGTCTGTTAGAATTTCCGAAAATGTCTTGTTAGTTTACTACTGTTAAACATCACTACCAGTGCTTTATAAAGTAGAGGTATAGAGGTATATTTTTCGTCTTCATGCTTCGTGAAATAAATGCATCTGAAAAATTCCCGTGTGCGTGCTGGTAGTCTTGCAGACTGTGACGCATAAAATGTATCTCAGGAACCTATGGTATAGGCCTTCGTAGTTTGTGCATCACAGCTTCAAGCTTAGAGCAGTTGAGTAGTTAAATACAGACGGTAAACCATAGTCATAATATTAGGGGATGTGGGATAAACTAAGGGTAAACAACACCGTGGAACCAGGTGAAATCTATTCAGTCATCCTTAAATCCATGAAAAACATGGTTGATTTACAAGTACGCTCACTATTCCAGGCAAACCTAATGAACTAAATAGTGTCAAGTGGATAATAAATGGCTGTCCTAGTAGAAGTTTACCAGAAAGAGCAGAAAACCGACTTAAGTTACTGCAGACCGGTAAGCAACAAATGCCTAGAGAAGCTGATTGGTAAATATAACTATAAGCACATACTAAATTATACTTTCCACAGTGTGAAAGAGCACAGAATCCTGAAAAATACATCCTGCCTAACAAAATTTCTGTGCTTTCTCGAAAACGTCGCGGAAAGGTCACCTAAGTATAAGGACGTTGGTGTTTGTAACCTGGACTAAGTAAAGCTTGTGAGTTGATAAATTCCGGTTCACCACGGCAAAAAAAAACAGAAGCTCCGCATTAGAGTAAAATGTTGATGAATAGTAGACATTTTTAAACTGTTAATCATACATCTTCGAGTTGTCCCACTGGAGTAAAATAATAAATCACATCTTGAATAGTTAGCAGCAGAGTCAAAAATAAGATAGGGGATTTACAGAGATCGATTTTAAAAGGATAATAATGACTGGGTGTCGCAAACACTGGCCCTCGTGCGTCTACTCATAGTTGTTGCAATCCAAATCTACATGAGTTTTCTATCTTAAAATTGACTGGTCTCAACATTCCAATCTTCATTCTATTCTTTTATCCAATCTCTGATGTGCATGTGACTTGGTAACAGACTCACTGCAGCCGATGCAGTACCAGAGGCCATTTCTCTGGAAGGACATCAGAGTTCCAGAGAATACCTCCAACCCGGCATCGCCGATACTTGGGGACCAAACAATAACGAAGAAAATTAAAATCACGGAACATGTTCTCTGATCAGCGCCATAGGTTAGGATGGATTGAATAAAATTGTATCAGGAGACCAGGAATACAAAACGATCGATCATTAGGTATCACTTTACATTACGGATCCATGATATCATTCGCCATAATTAGTACATTCTTTTAAAACCCAGGAGCAATTTGGCATTTTTCGTGCTTAAAGCAAGCTACCATTACAGTTGGTTGCGTGTATCATAATGAGGGACATCAAACCAGAGTGAAAACGAGACAACTAGGGTAGATTTCTTTAAGCCGCTAGGGATTCAGCATTGATAGTGTATCCACAAAGAGCTTTTGGGTTCTCCTAACCTTGCCTAATATAATGATTTAAATCATTAGATCTGTATTGTAAGTACATTATAGAACTATATTGATGTTTCTATAGATAAATCAATGGGTATAGATCTATATGTTTACATTTGTAAACATTTAAATAGGTATATTGATATATCTATATTCTTATAATATTAACAATAATTAATAAAATATTTGTGGCGTAGGTTACCCGCCGGCATCCCATGGAGCCAAATTTATGCAATCTAAGTTCTATTACTCATAAGTAGCATAACCGATAGTTTAAACAGGGAACAGTAGTCTAATGCACAAAAAATGTTTACTCAATAATGAATCATTATTAACAAGGATAAAGTTGTTTTGTATGTCCTAAATAGGTTTCGATATCGTTTGAAAAAGTTTGTATGCAAAAATCAAACCATATTCGGCATTGGACCTCGTCCGGTTGTTTCCAAATAACAACTCCGACAACTCCGACAACTTCTTCGGATCACTTTCGCATCATAACCGACTATGTTGGGCTAAACACTCTGG